TGGAATTCTTTGGCTTGACTTTGGACTTCTTCACCGGAATTCACCTTTAAAGTTCTTATCTATGATTAATTGCTTGTTATGATTGTTGTTGTTATGATTAACAACTCTTCCCTTTAACACTATGTGTGCCTAGGAACTGTGTCTGGCTGCTGAATGGGTGCCAAGAAAGCCAGGATGCAAAAATGGGATTCTGGGGAGCATATAACAACAATCAAAATAATATCACAATCATAAAAACACTTTAAACATAATAAATATAAATAAGAGGCAAGATTCTCAGTATTCTTCCAGGACTGGAATTCTGACTAGACTAGACTAGACTAGACTAGACTAGACTAGACTAGACTAGACTAGAATAGAATAGAATAGAATAGAATAGAATAGAATAGAACTGGAAGGGACCTTGGAGGTCTTCTAGTCCAACCCCCGCTCAGGCAGGAAACCCTATACCTATACCATTTCATTCAAATAATTCTCCAAACTCTTCTTAGAAACTTCCAGTGTTGGAGTATTCACAGCTTCTGGAGGCAGGTTGTTCCACTGATTAATTGTTCTAACTCTCAGGAAATTTCTTCTTAGTTCTAGGTTGCTTCTCTCCTTGATTAGTTTTCATCCATTGCTTCTTGTCTTCCAGTGCTTTGGAGAATAGCTTGACTCCCTCTTCTTTGTGGCAGCCCCTGAGATATTGGAACACTGCTATCATGTCCCCCCTCGTCCTTCTCTTCATTAAACTAGACATATCCAATTCCAGCAGCCTTTCCTTACTGTATATGCTTTAGCCTCCAGTCCCCTGATCATCTTTGTTGCTCTTCTCTGTACTCTTTCTAGAGTCTTGTTGGGATTTTTATGATTCAGGCTTCTATAGTAAGACTAGGCCAGTGGCCAGCTTGCGTATTAGAGGCCTAGGACAATAAGTAGGGCAACCACATTGTTGGGAATGATTATTGCAATGGTCAGGTAATTTTGCTTTGCATTAGCTAAGAATCTGACCATGTACAAAAAGCAAGTAAGAAAATGTAGCTGCATTGCATA